ACTAACAATCTCATAATACAAACAAAGAGTCAAATACCACCTTACAGTAAGCATCAACACGTAGTTGTTGTGGAAACCAAATGATATTAGCCATCTTAAACAACGAGAAACTACATATACCTTCATACTCTTCATCATCCTTCAATTCGTCTTCGGTGACCATATTCATTAAACAGAGCACTTCAGTTGGTGGTCCAGCACCGTGAGATAAGTCTATGCCCGCCACCTGGATCTGTGGGAACGTATTCTGTGCAACATTGTTTCTAGCGTTAGCACAAGAAAGCTGCACAACAAGATTTTTGTCGCCAAGCTGCATACCATTTAAACCTGCGATCGCCTGAAAAAATATTTTAACATTTTATTTCACTCATTTTAGAACTCGCTCCTCGAGAAAACCTTATTTTGCTTTAACGCATTATCCCCTTTTTCACAATCAGTTCCAACTATAGATTACAGCTAAAACTTTGTATATATTTTAAACCATGGAAAGCTTTCTCTGTCGTTTTATTCCACAGAAGCATCACGCTTCTTGTCAAAAAATTTGCATATAAATAAGATTTTCTTAAGGAACGCAGAAAGAATTTGCCGGTTTCGGCATAGAAAGTTCGAAAACTGAAATGAAATTTGTCTGACATGTACTGGTTTACAGTTAAATAAAAAACTGCACTGAAGAGTCGAAAATCATGCCGAACCATTTAAAGTCAGACCTGATCTGTTAAAGAAGGATCCAAATACTCTGCAAATGCATAGCCTTTCGAAACACCGGTAGACTGTTCAGTCACTAAATTAAACGCCTTCAACTGCCCGAAAGAAGATAGAAGTTCTTTCACCTGAAAAATTTTAACTGAAATCATGTGCTCCGGACCTCGCAAGGCATACTGCCATGTGCACACCTAAATTCTTGGTAGCGTGATTTTTCCTAACCCATAAAATGTCCTGATGCAAGTCTGTTACTGCTTTGGTGGGGTACAATTTTGGATTTTTTTTACTCAAGCATGAAATAGTTAAAACGGCTTACTCGGACCAGTTGCTAATCACCAATTTCACCATTACTCTAAAAATCTGAAATTCAGGAAAACAAGCACAGCTGCTTGCTGAGTAGCTCCCAATTTTTTATAAATTCGATTCGATGTCAAAAAACCCCCCCAGTGATAGCCTAAGAAAGTGATTACAAAAAGATGAGTTTATAGGAGGTTCCAGCGTGTGCCAACCCTTTATATGCATGCTTTCTCGACCTCGACCCTGAAAACCTAAAAATGGGAAATGCGGGGGTAATGGCTTGTATGATGTGTTGTAACAATTTCTCCATTATCCGACTCAGTTGGATCACGAATAACAGTGCAAACAGAGCGCATCTCGTGACTGACGGCCACTGAAAAAATGTGGCCGAATTAGTCTAGCACTATAGCTCGTAAAAATTTTTAAAAATTTGGCACGTGAATGTGCCAGATTGTCGCCACCAATGAGATCAAAGCATGGAAAAGTTTCGGGGAAAGTTCTCAGGAAGTCAGCCGACTTAAGGCAAGAAAGCATTGAGATCAAACTTTGACCACCAATATAAGCTCTCATCCCATATCTTACCATCAAAGGAACAACATGGCAATATATCAACAAACCTGCTCAGCATTGAGATAACTTGGCAGACCTCCGATAAATATTTTATGTGGACTATCCGGTACGATATTGGACACTGAAATTTATTATAATTTGGTTCCACAAGGAGAAATTTTTACACCCAATTTAAAGCTACATAGAACACTTCTCCTACTACAGATAGATACCAAATGCACAGCCTAAATTAGTGCTTAATAATTCATCGTACTTTTTGTATATTCCGAAAAAAAACTGGCAGACTAGGTCATGTAACTTTGGCTAGTTACACAGAAGTCTCGTGTTACAAGTGAAGCCTCCAGAAACAAGTTGAAGCTTCGAAATTCCCAAATCATCTCATCCATCAACTCAACTGATATTCAAGTAAAATCTCACAGAACTACACTACATGTGGAAAATCGAGATGACATAAAACGCACCCATCATATTGCCCAAATCATAACTGGTACTCATTGGTTGATAATCCCGTGGTCTTCGTATTTTGAGCTGCTGTCCCATAAAGTTGATTCCGTCGAATGCCATACCAGCTGTTGTCTCATCGATCGATCGAAATTCAATAAAAGCGAAATTCTTGTCAAGATTCATCTGGCATGCTAAGACTGGGTTGCCCGGTGCTTGAGCTAGACCACAGAGATGCATCTAAAATTATAAATTTCTATGAAGACGAACAAACTGAGCATTATGATACAATTTGTTTTATATCAATTGTCTCTATCAGAGATTGGCTCATTTATTGATTAGTCTAGTCTTATTTTAGAAACTTCAACATCTTGCCAGATAAATCATGGAATATTAATATGTACGATGGAATTATGATTGAACGTTCAGTTCCTCATTAGAAGGCAATTGATGCCAATGTTAACGCAAGTGGTAAATTGTAATAGTCACAACGACTTATGTGGATATCTGAAGACTTCAAAAATAGTTTGGAAATAACCTGCTGATTGAAAAAGTCCAACATCGCGTCTTCACTACAACCAAACGGTATATTACCAACATAAAGACGTCGTGACTGGCAAGTCACCGATGGTCCAACAACGGGTACTGCCGACTGAACATTATTCCGTGGTATCTGACCCGCAGCTAAAACATGAAACAGATAAAAAGTACAAAAGGTTAGTGCCATCCGTAAATGTGAAATGATGTGAAACATGAGTTGTAAGTATAAGGGTCATCAAACCACATTACTGGCATATAACGAAAATGAACCTTGTAGCTCCTTGTATTCCTTTGGCGTCAAATGTTCATAACCAACTGGTGGTACATCCCAGAACTTATACTTCTTCTTCGGTTTCTCAGGTGTACGCTCCTTGCGACTGCGACTTCGGCTCCGATCACGATGATGATGTCGTCGCTCCCGTCTATAGATGATTAATTATATGTTATGGAAAATTAAAACGCCAGTTTGGAAAAACAGTTGTCCTGGCAAATTTAAACATGAAATTCTTTCAACCCGACCTTCGATTTACTTCCTCCTATTCGTTTATCCAATTTCCGATTGGCCCAAGCAATATTTTTCCTAATTTCTTGAATAAATCAATCTTCAACACAAAATACCTTTTTTCATGTGCAAAGAAATTTTGATACCCTGCTTCCACTATCTTCCAGCAGATTTCAGATTCCACATCTAGATATTAGTTTCAAAAATAGATCTGAAACCTTACGATCGCGATTTCCGTCGATCACGGTCTTTGCTTCGGCTTTTGGTTCGGCGTCGTCTTTCGCGGTCTCTACTTTTACTTTTGTCACGGCTTCGATCACGGCTACGACGATCCTTTTTATCTCCATCTTTATCCTTTTCTTTCCCTTTATCCTTATCTTTTTCATCACTGTTTAATGTCATATCCTAAAACGAATATCACAAATTTAGTAAAAAACGGAGGACTATACTTTCTAAAAAACAATGAACACCAAAATTCTACTGAAACTGTCATTCGCCACTTCATCTTTCTAAATAAAAAAAAAAACGAAAAATCGACAGAAACAAGCATGGTCCCACTTTTGGTAGCATAGCAGCAATTTTGGCATCTAGTGGTGCCGCCAGTGGTCCCTCCTTACGTTGCCGCACTTCCAGATAGGCCTTAGCAACATCTTCCAAATTTGTTTCCATTTCTTGAAGCTGCTCAGGCTGTTGTGGATGTTGGTCAAGTTCGGTCATCTTATTCAATTTCCTACGGGAGAAAGAAAAGATTAAACCACTGCGAACTGCAAGCACTTTCAAAACACAGTTTAACGAGGGATACACTGGAACGCATTAGCACAAAAGAGAACTATTTTCTTTCTTCATCATATTTAACAGAGTAAAAATATAAAAACCGTTAACTGATATTCATACAGAGAGGCAGAATATGAAACAATGAGCAGGAAAAGAAAGCATAATAGGATGTTAAGACAGCACAACCATTTTTTTTAGGATAAAAAGACCTTACTTTAATTTTTATACGATTCCAACCTATACTCATACGTACAAAGCGAAGATCGGTCATTCGAAGGAAAGGACCGATCTCACCGAGACCCGGTTCCATACTTATCATACACCTCATATATTCAGACCTCTAGCCAAGTCACGGAGAAGTCACCCGCCCTCTTCTCTCACTTAAAAACCTGTACGAATCAAGCCAAACACCCCAACTCGCGCAAACCAAACAACCTCTTCCGAAACCAATCGATAGCAAACTACCCAAACAATCGACTGCAAGCGTTCGTGACAGAAACACGACGTCTCTTACAACATAAAATCCTTTTGTTAGAGATATAATTGGGAAAATTTTAGATCTCCTTAAAATGATGTGGTATTGAGCCTGCCAACTGCGGGATGTGGTTCAGGAATGGTTACATAGCTAGTTAGTACATTATCTACTACTCACCGCTTTTCTACCATCCATATTAATACACCTAGATCGCCTCAGTCTGTTACCTTGTGATAACCTTTCTCGGCTGGATATATTTAAGCGGTATGATTGGATTTCTCTTCACCATCGATTTAATCACGAAAATGTCCATGCATTGAAGGAATTCGGAAAATATGTATGTGGAAAATTTAGAAGAATATGATCGTGGTGAATTTCAAATAACGACTAACTGAAAAACACGAAAGTTTTCAGGTAATTATGACATCTCCTAAACGGAAGAAGATAAAAGAAAGCAAGAGTGATAATGATATAGAAACGGTTATCAATAAAATACTCTTGGAGGATTGTGATTTAGATGTAGCCATCCTTCTAAGGTTTCGAAATCACCTACAACACTCGAAAGATAACGTTAGTCGTATCTTCCTCGTTCCATTGACTTCTTACACTACTAAATCCCGAGGACTAATTAATTTAACTGAGAATCCAATCGCAGATCCTCACTCTTAGGCCGACCCTCATCTTTCCATTTCCTTTTCTATCTGAAAGAGATAGTTCACTACTCTTATTTTAATCGGTAACTCGGAGTTTTTTGTAGGAACTAGAAGTTCAATCAGTAAAATTGAAAATTGAGCAAAGGGTCATTACTCGTTTGCTTTGTCAATATGAGGCGATGGAATCAGAGAAGGACAAAGCGATTTTTGATATCCTTTTTTTGCTCGAAAAGTTGTATCAAATAAGCTTGCGGTATGTTTGATTTTTGATATCTCATTCTGTTCATCGTTTTAGCTCTGTTTAATTGGATTCAGTGGAAAATATGCTTGAAATCCAATAGGAGTGAACACACAGGAAAAAGAATACGTAAGAACAAATGTGTTACTTTTTCAGTATCAACCATTTTAGACCTTTTTTTCCGATGGTATGGGGAAACCGAGCAAAAGACAATTATGAGAAATTACGCCAGTTGGGACAAATTCTGCACACAAAACTCACGGCAGACCAGGTATTCTTTGTATTAATTAGCATTGCATAGATTCTTTAGGAATCAAGATTCTATAAAATTTATAGTTTAAGTTTATCTCTTCAAATTTCAGGTTCTAGATTATTTAAATCCCAAACTAATGTGGAATACATTGCTGAAGTCCGAACAAACCACCAGCATTAAAATACCTGAGAAGGATTCTTCAAATCAGTTTTATGATGCCCGTTTTATACTTCGTTTGCTGGCAACCTTGATAGATGACGACGGCGCAAAGGTGAATATTGTTTGTTATTCCCTGCACCTCATACTTTTTGTGCAGAATGAGTGTTGTAGCGAAATGAAAGTTGAATGTGCGAAGTGATATCTCCAAGGACGTAAAGAGCAGTGATTCTCATTGTTTTCAGATGAACAGTCGAAAATTTATTGATGTAAATGCTCTTTCACTTGCGTTTGCAGCAACGAGTTTTGTTAGCCGGAGTGAGCGCTGTATCGCATACTTCATTCTTAGACGTTTTCTGCTTCACTTAACAGAGTTGGATGCAGATTCATTCCCGGAAAAGTGCCTTTATATCTATCTGTTGCAAATATTCAAAAACAGTATCGAAAATCCAATTCAACGATTACCACACGGTTGGCGGCTTTTAACACTTGGAACTGCAAATGATTTAACAAATTTGACCTAGTACTTTTGGATTGGTTCAGGATTGAGTATCTTTCACCTGTTTAATTTGTTACAAATTTCGTTTTTGACTGCAATTGAGTTAGACAATTTTAGTTTTAAATTTATTTCAATTCAGTGAAATGCTACCATATAATCGATTACAACCATGTAGAGTTTATTGATGTAAATGCTCTTTCACTTGCGTTTGCAGCAACGAGTTTTGTTAGCTGCGTTTGTTTCGATGTTTCTAGAATCTTCATAATAGATACTGCCTCATTTTCCCGACAGTGTATATCCATCCAGATTTTTATGCTTGTACAAAATGAATGAAGTACACTTCTATCCGTATGCGGATTTTTCCTTACCATTACTACAATTTTTCTTGCGTAATGCCTGATTATAAGCAGAAGAAGTAATGTAACTATTTTTAAGTACTATGATTTATTGCAGTTGTTGCACATTTTTTCGCGAGAGTGACCAAATTGATTTTACATCCTGAAGATCCTGTCTATCAGCCAGTGCTATCGTTCCTGCTGCTTAAACCAAATATTGATATCCAAAATGTTCCGGAAATTTACAAATTGGTATTAAGTTCAAGTACACAACATTACAACAAAGAGCGCCATTGGTGTTTACGTCTCATATTGGATTCACTCATAGAACCGAACGATTACAACATCTTGCAGAAAAGATTTGTTTTAACTAATTTTTCATTTGATTCAGGAGTTTCAAAGCTCAAACTTCTTTAGTTCAGGAAGATAGCTTTGAATCAGTTTATGCATTAGCAGCTTTGACAATCCTGAGGAGTGTTTCTAGTTTTTCAAGCTGTTTAATATATATTGTTTTTGCATTAGTTGATTTTTAGATATGGGATCAAGCTATTATTATCACTCTTTGGTAGTGTTATTGCTGATCAGGAAACAAAAAATACATTTTGTTGTCACTTCGAGCTATTTTGCAGCATCGATCATTAGCTAATGATCTGTATGTTCGGCAGAATCTGCATTCCTGGATTGTTTTGACTTTGCAGGTACTGTATTCACGTTTTGCTCTTTCTGTTTCATTTTCAAGTCCTTCCTTTTTTAATGGATGCATTGTAGTTTAAGCTTTGTCTTGAAGAGATTGTAGGTCAGGATGAAAAGCTTACTTTTATGCGCCAAGTGCTTGCGGGATAATTCATTAAAGATAAAAACATGTTTATTTGGTCTTTTTTTGCAGAACACAATGATAACTAGATGGGAACGCGTATTTCTCTGTCAGTTATTTGTTATGCTTGTCACGCATGTTAAAGACCTTTATTGTAATTCAAATCATGACTCCATGGACGCTAATTGGCGTAAAACTATGGTGTACAAAACATGCCAAATGCTGGGAAATAAAGTCTGTTTCGTTTCTACAAAGAGAATGAAGATCACATGAATGATGCATATGTTCACATGTGAAATCTAAGAGTCTTAGCAAAATATTTTTTTACACTTAGAAACAACTTTTTTTAATCGGTTGTTTTAAATTTCTATATCATTTATATGACTGAGAATTTTGCAAAAGCGATATCGTTTATTTCTTCACGATTCTTCATGTTTACTTAGCTTCGTAATTTGAGGAATTTATGACTTGAGAATTTAGATTTCATCTAGTATCGTAGTATCCTTTTACGGTATTCAGAGCAAGAATCTAAAAAGTGACAATTCTCAAACGAGTAATTCAGGTTTCATGCAACATGAGGGGAATCTTTTTGCAGGTGTGTGATGAGCTAGAAAAACAAAATGATGATGCGAAAAGTACGTGGTTGCCGAAACTAAAACAGCTGTTGTGTAAGGATAGTTGGGCGGGGTCTATGGAGGCGTGCGATATTCGGAATTGAATTACTGATGTTCTCAATTTTTTTTTGTTGTTTTGTTGCTATTGTTCTGATTGTTTGTATCATTGCAATTCACAAATATTTTTACATATTATGTTGCGAGTTCTGCGGAGCATATAGTCATCCTATCAGCTATTCGTCCGCTTCTTCCAGTATCGTAATAATTCAGTGATTGTTTCATAATTTATTTAACATCAGCATTACGTTATGGAATATGTGTTGTACATTACATTCATGCCCTATTTTATTATGCAAGTCATTAATTACTGTATTGCAGAGAGGAGGACACCTAATTATATGATCTTGATGGAGATTAAAGAGGATGTTAATCACCATTGAGAGCGACTAGACTTCGTTTTTCTAGAGGATTGCACATTTTCATAGTGTTCAGAGTCAATGGGCCATAGCATATCAAAGCGATTTTCGATTTTGGAAGAGTTGAGTGGGAGGTGACATATTGGTACACGGAGGATCAGTAGGACGGGCAATCGGTCCATCACCTTATGTCCTGTCCTTTTTCTTTTTTCTTCCTTATACTTCGAACGTCCAACGTCATCACTGTTATAAAATGTAATTATTTCTGTAAAGGAATAAAAAATGTACAAATTGTGTTCATAAGCATAAAATGTGTACAATTGTGTTCATTAGGCAGGTATAATACATGTGTATTATTCCGTTATTGGGTTCTTCATACACTGAAGACACACTGTTCAAGGTGATAAGTGATGTAGACAGTGAGATAGAGAATTCAATGAGAGGCATAAAATTGTTGAAGGTACTCATATTCATGTGTGATGATTGTTAATGAGGTGCTTTCATTTATTACAGAATATTTATATGCTTATCTTCCAATTACTATTATGAACAAGGCATCAGATGTATTGTCAACAAGAGTAATTGATAAAAAAGTGTACAGATTGTGTTGATAAGTATAAGACGTATACAGTTGATGCTTGCAGTCGTTCATTACTACAACTGTTTTTCCGAAAGAAAAGAATAATGTGAGATTATACGCCTTTTACAATACCCTGGTATATCACTGATTTCGTTTCGAGATTTCCCGGATTTCGTAATATTCGCGTTCTCAGCTTCCCCTAGTTCCTTATCATCAAGTTTTTTCTTTCTTTTAGATTAGAAAACTGTGTACAAATATTGCGCAGTAATATGGGCAAAAAAAAGCGAAATCATGCGCAAAACACGGAGGAAGTTTCATCAGTACCATCTGTGAGCACTCCGCCACTCGTCAGACAAGTTACGTTTGATGAATCTTCAAAGGGACCTAGGTGATTAATTTTTTTATTCGTAGCTTTTCTTCGTTGATAGTGGAAGACAGAAAGACATTCTCTGACATTATTTACTTGGGAAATTTTTGTTTTAAATTAATGGTGAAATGAACGCAATTTGCATAATTCTTTATCAAATCAAGCAAGAATTTAAAATGCAATTCATTTTGTCTCAATTTTTGGTCGTCAGAATTATGAGTTTATATTTTTTTTTTAATGCTATGATTCTGAAGGGTTGCAAGAGGCCTGACAAAAATATCGTCATATGATTACAAGTTATATTGCATCTTAGGGTGCTGATTTCATCCATAGTAATTCTTCATTAATACCACGCACCACAAAAATTTTTTCCGTATTCACAGTGAGTTTGATTATCAAGCGAAGCTGATATCTGTAGAAGCCGTAAAACATAAGTAGAACCTACGGTCGGCTATAATATTTTATTGGATTTCTTCCTGTCATAAGGAGCGATTTGTAACTCATGAAGTTTGAGAAATACTGAATGTGAAGAACTGAATGTGAAGAACGTCAAATGCTGTCTTACAATCATTGTTTTTATTTCTCTCCATAATTTGGAAATAGTGATTTTGTCGATTTCTTTAGTGACTATTACATGGAACCGAGCGGTAGAGGTTTAATTACAAGTCCATCTGTTGGAACACTAAACAGATTAGAACGACAGAAAATTGTTCTCTGGAAGAGGCCTTTTCAAACAGTTCACTATGCTCTTCGTGAAATATTACAGTTATTGGTCGAGTTCATCACTTAGTATGTTCTTCTACCGAAATTTCAACAATAGCATGATCTTTCATTGTTTTTCTTAGTTGAAAGGAAATGAAATGTGCCAAAAAATATTTTAAGTGTTAGTGAATTGGTGTTGAAAGCTCGCGTAAGTCATTAAACATTAAACTTCTTTATATCCTTCTTATGAAGTGTTTGCAAAATTGCAGTTAAGATGAACCAATGTTTTAATCTTCTGTGCTTTAGTATTTCGGGCGATACTTTGCTCTGTTCTTTAACTTTTTAAATTAAATTTAAAACTATTTCCGATTTATTTGAATGTTAATTCCAGTTTATGGTTGCACAAAGCTCGCATATTGTTTGTTTTATTATTGTGTGCCGTTGGGACATATATTTGTCACATTCCCGGTGCTCATCAAAAATACATCCAGAGTTGGAAAGTGAAGTTATTACGATGTCTGTATTGGATAGGTTTGGGCATACTGTCATCTGTTGGACTTGGAACTGGTCTACATACATTTATATTATATCTCGTGAGCTCTTCGTCTTCATTTATTAACTATGATGCGAAACTTTAAAAGGAAATGCTGAAATCATTGTCTATTTTTAGTTTAGTTATAAAGCAATCCTAAAAACACTGGAGAAATATCTAAGCTACCAGTGATGGTAGCATTTAATAAAAGATTCATCACGAAAAAAAAACCGGAACTCAAGTCTCAATGTTTTAGTTTTCATTTTGTTGGTTTATGGTGTTTTTGAAAATTCATGAACTTACAGGGTCCACATATAGCTTCAGTTACAATGGCGGCTTACGAATGTAATTCACTGGATTTCCCTGAGCCACCATATCCGGAAAGGTTCTAGCATTTAGTGATTTGTCAAAACAGAAATGTGGAAAGTGCAGCTTTTGTATTGTAATTTCATAAAATGACCGAAACAAAAAGGTGGCTAGAAGTTCCAGTTTTCTTATATTTCAGTCCAAACTTTTTTCCAGAATTCTATGTCCGAATGTGGAAGGCATCGTGGAGACGGCAATAGTGACAATGTGGTCGATAATGTCAAAAGTAGGTCGATCAGAATACAGTTTTCGCTATGAATGAATTTTCAATGAAATTATCAGTGGTGCCATAATTTATTCCAGGTACGTGTTGAAGCACTTATGTGGGGAGCTGGCACAGCACTGGGTGAATTACCGCCTTACTTTATGGCAAAGGCAGCGCGAATCTCCGGTGAGGAGCCAGATGATGAAGAGTACAGGTATATATTGCTTTTCGATTGATTAGAGTGTTTTTGTGTTTTCTTGTTGATCGTCAAGTGAATTTTGAACTTTTTTTCAGGGAATTCCTAGCTTACATTAATCAAAATGAACCCAAAGCACCCACTTTTACCGAAAAATTCAAAGGAGTAATGGAGAAAGCAGTCACTAAACTTGGATTCTTTGGCATTCTTTCTTTCGCTTCAGTAAGCGTTATCTCAGTTTTATTGTCACAGTGGTTGAGTTTCATTAGAAATTTAGAGTGGCTTCTTAATGTCGATTCTCTCTGAATAAAGATAGGGGTTTGAATTTAGGTTTATGTGTTATTCATCATGTATCCTGCGTATCCGCCAATTTTCAGAGCCTTTTTTTAGATTCCAAATCCGTTCTTCGATTTAGCTGGCATAACGTGTGGGCATTTCCTAGTTCCCTTCTGGAAGTTCTTTTTGGCAACTCTTATTGGAAAAGCTGTCTTCAAAATGCATCTTCAGGTGTCTTCTTTTTTGTTTCTTATATTCGATCATTTGCTAATAATAGCTGATATCATCTGTGTGATGTTCATTTTGACTTCACGGCCATTTTTTCTGAATTCGTTGCTTTTAGATGTTTTTTGTGGTATTGGCTTTCAGTGAAAACACAGTGGAGCATCTTATAGTTCATTTAAAGTTAGTCTTCTAGTTATTTGTTATTATTTGAAATAGTTTTGCATATTTTAGCTGATCCCACATCTGTGGTCTAAGAATTCAGTTTTTCTTTTTTTTTTTTAAACATAGGAAACAGTTTTCAGAGCGGTTCCGATATTTGGCGTACGTCTTCACCAGAAATTAATGGAGTATCTAGCGTTTCAGAAAATCAAGCTCCATAAAGGTGGTATCCTACATGTTGAGGTAGTACTTGCCTATTTGTTTACTGAACATGCAGAAAAAAGCAAATAGTTTTTTAATAGTCCAGGTTTTTTTCGTCAAAAAAGTTGTAGAGATGATCCGGAGTTGATCAGATACGAAAGTAAATGGCGTGGTAGTTTATGTTTTCAAACGATGTAAGCAATACTATGGAAGCGGAATCAACATATACAAAAGTTTTGCCTATTTAATCATATTTCAGGACAGCACTATGCTTCAGAAGGGTGCTTCATTCATCGTTACATCTATGATAGTTTGGTTTTTACTTTCTATAATCAATTCGTTGGCACAGAATTGGCATAAGAGACTTTGTAACGCAAAAAAGAAGACACTATGATGGTTTATAGGAGATTTTATCATATAATTCTTTTATTAGCAAATCTTCACTTATGCTATGGATTTATTACATTAATATATTGACATAACTTATATTTTCATTTAAAATAGCTATTTTTTGTTCTCTGTATTAATTGTTAGTGTTTTCCTTTCCTTTCGGAAGTAAAAACAGTTAGTAAACATGGGAGAAGATGGATGAAGAAGATGCGAGTTTATGTGTTAAAAGGTAGGAGTACATTAAATCAATATAACATAGGAATATGTTAAATTACATGTATTTCACTCAACTTATGATTTTTATTTCGGAATTAACAATAGGAATTAACATTCTTTGGCTTTCCAGCTTTCTCTTTTTCTCAGGGGATCCAGGTTGTTCTCTTTTGTTTTTGTTCCTGTTTAATCTATGATTTAATTTTATTGAAAACATATTTTGAGTTGGTTCAAGTCAAAAGAGATTTACGTTAGAATTGACTGCTGTTGTCAGAATTATAAACGCTTATAGGATTACCTGTTTAGTTGATATCCAGTAGTATTTTGCTTTATAGTATATCGGAGTGTAATGTATCGATACTTTTTTTTTCTTATAGGTATATGAATGCCACTACCATATGATTCCACGTTTATTTCAGATTCCTGATCTTTTTCATGCTGATGAATTTTATTTGTTATTAGAAAGAGATTTATAAAAATATGTTGGCTTTGGTAGATCTTCGACCCGTGATATGTTGTGGGATGGAAATAATATTTTCTTCAAGCGTTGGGAACAACAAGTTATTTGATACGTGTGGGAACTTGACATTAATCAGAACATCGTTCTCAACTTTTTTTTGACGACAAAAATTAATGGTTTCGGATAATTCGGAATAAGTGGATGTTTTCATTTCCTTAAAGCCATTTACAAAAACTAAAGGTCGAGTATTTTTTATATTTGATGCACGGAAGGTTTTCAAGTCTTTGTTTTCGTCTCTCTTACTGGAGTAAGTGAATCGGTTGATTTCAAATGGGCAATGAATCCTTAAGTCGCTGCTGGTTATAGCCATCAGTCGAATATTTTTGTTTTTTTCGGCAAACAAAATATTTGGCTTGATAGATAAAAGCATCAAAGAATGCGTAAAAGAAAGAACGAGAAGTTTTATGAAAATGAAATATTTTTGAAGTGCTCTCCACTTCTAAATTTATCACAATGCACTGGTTAAATTAGGCATGAAAACATCAGATGAAGAGAAATTCTTGGACTACCGTAAGCTAAATGCTAGGAATAGCACTCATGAAATGTGGATGAGGAAAAATATTGTGATTTCTTCCTCACGTCATTTCCATCACTTCAAACTAATATTGGTAGTTTTGCATTGCCTTAAATTTGTCATCTTCATCTTACGCTTCATTGGGCTTCAAAAAGCATTTGAGTTCAGTTTCATCCTTCCCATAAGACTTATTGGGTGCCCGATTCTTTCCTATCATGCAGTCCAATACCACATCTTCCTCTATTAACTTAGCCAAAACCTATGCTGCAGGTATTTCATCATTTTCTACTGAATTAGTGTAATATCAGACAATCTGGACGAATCATATAGTTATTCCAGCAATGATAGAATATCATTTTTCCCTTATATTACTTTATATTATCGGTATTTTGAAGTATATTTCCTCGAAATGAATTTATAGTTTTGATTTTGATATAAACAAGTTACTTGAATTTTACCACTTACTTTACAATAGATCTTGTTGAAGAAGTAAAGGAATAAAAATAATTTTTGAAATTTCTGAAGTGTTATTTTTACCAGGAATGATCGTATTATTGAAGTAATCGGATAGCTTAAAACAAAGAAACACTTATCCTAAAATTCTCAAATTTTTCTTTGGATTTTATTACTTTAAAAATTCGAATCCAATATTTTTCATAGAGCTATTGCCGCAAAATCAACAAAATTGGGAAGGTACGAAGAGATTTTTGGAAGAAATTGTCAAAATTCTCCTAGAATATATCAATGAGGAAAATCGACGAGAAAGTAAAATATTGGATTTTCATCATCCAGCCGAAATGCAAAAATTAATCGATCTAAGTATTCCGGATAATCCATGTACTTTAGAAGAGTTACTTCAGGTAAATAATCGATTTCCTAGCAGATATAATGAGAATTTTTTTTTCATAAAGCAAAAACTTGAAGAATATTAAGTAATTAGTAAATTAGATTTGTTCTCTTTGAATTTACATTTTACTCCAATGCAAACTACGATAATCAAATGTAGAATTTTTATAAAGAATTTGTTAGGATTGTCAAAAAGTATTGCGTTTGGGTGTTCGTACCGGACATCCGCGCTTTTTCAATCAAATATCATGCGGACTTGACCTGATATCAATGGCTGGTGAATGGCTTACAGCTACTGCTAATACTAATATGTACGATTTTTGCATATCTCGTAGAATATATAATATGAATATTACATCTTACGACATTAAATACCAACAATTTATTCTTCTATTCGAGAAGTAAATGGAGGAATTGGTAATTAGTATGAGTTAATTAACAATTAGAAAGTGAGAAGATCAATAATTTATTCATTTTGTTAAATAAACTCATATTACTTTAACAGTTTCTTTTTTTTGTTATTAATTTAATTTTGTTATAAATCAATAGTAATTATTGATTTTAAAGCTTACTTTATTTTAACTTTAGTCAGTTTACTTTAACATACAAATATTGTAGCATAAAATTTTTCACAGGTTTACTTACGAAATTGCACCAGTTTTTATCTTAATGGAAAAAGAAGTGACGAAGAAAATGGCTGAATTGATCGGTTGGCAGGATAGTGATGCTATTTTTGCTCCCGGTATATCATAGTTAATTTCGAGAAATTTCAATAATGCTCTCTTTGTTCTGTTAATTGAACTAAAATTTTAATGCAATTTTTCATACATAAACAAAACCAAAATTAAAATATTCAAACAATGTAAACAGAAAGAAGCCTATATGGCTATATGAGTTTATTGGCTCATAAATGTTTGTCTAAGAATTCCTCCATTAAAATTAAAAAAAACAAATACCATAAGATGAATAATGACATATTTTTCCTGTCTAATACTCATTCCACTACTTATCTGTCTACTTATGGGACAAACTTTTATGAAATGAAAAGCAGTGACGAAATTTTTTGAAACGTGAAATAAGAAGTTTTAAAAACATTTCAACTTCATTGAGTGGAATTAGATGACAATCATATTGTCGTATAGTTGAACGATGATGACTCATTGTGATGATTAATTTTCCATTACTTCTTGATTGGTTTTATTCATCTGTAATAATTAATGATAATTCATTACAGTCTCCCAACTATTATAATCAACCAAAATTGTTTGAAAGGTAGATGAAATTTCCTTTTTCAAGCTAGAATAAAAAACAAAAAAAAAACTTAATCTATGTAAGAAATCAAAGATCAAAATGATATGGTAAGAGGTTAAATTATTTTAAAACAGTATTCCTGAAATCTTTTCACCTTCTAATTAATCCTGATTAATCTTGTGCATACTGTATCAACAGATTGTTGATAAGTATTCATGTGACTATCAGTTCTTCTTACTGTTATCATCTATTTGAATAATACAGTAACCATGAAAGAGTATATTGTTAAAATGATCAGAAAAGATGCAGAATGTATGAATTACAGGTGGTGCTATCTCGAATATGTATGCAATGAATGCTGCACGACATGCACGCTTCCCGAGATGTAAACCACTTGGACAGGGTGATCTACCAACTCTTTGCATTTTCACCTCCGAGGATGTAAATTACATATCATTTTGGCAATTCAAAATATGATAAGAGCAATATTTAATCAATAATTGATATTTTGATTAGCAACTAAAATAATAATTCATATATGATATGAGGAAATTAATTATTATGAAAAAAATATTTTATTTATTATTTATTGATTTTTATAGAGTCATTATTCAATCAAAGGAGCAGCAACTGTAATGGGTATTGGTACTGATAATTGTTTCAATATTCCGACTGATCCATCTGGACGAATGATACCTGAAGCATTGGAAGAACGTATAATACAATGTAAAAAAGATGGTAAGCTATATAGCTAATATAAAGTTAATATCATAAAACTATATAGCTAATATGTCATGATATTGATTAGCATCTTTTATTGATTAATTTGAATCATTAAAAAAAGAAAAAAATTGGGATCAAATTTACTAGGTATGGAGCCATTTTTTGTCTGTGCAACAGCTGGCACTACAGTATACGGTGCATGGGATCCAATATCACAAATAGCAGATATATGTGATCGTCATAAATTGTGGCTTCACGTTGATGTTCGATTTTTTTTTTTTGTTTTAATTCTTAATTAGTTCATTTAAAATTACTCCAATTTTATTATATATATCATATTTTTGGCTTTAATTCTATCACAAATATTTTTTTCTAATGGAAGTGGACATCATCTTTGTATTGTCCACCAAGTCTAATTAGAGATAAAATGATACATGTCTTGTCACCTTTTATCTGAAAAGTAAAAATGAGATTTTTTTTTGATAATTTTAAAAAGTTTTGATACTAATTGGATTTGATTCTTTCAATTAGAGAAAAAAAAGAAAAATTTAAAGGCAGCATGGGGTGGTGGCCTTTTGCTGTCACCGGAATATCGTCATAAACTTTATGGTATAGAAAGAGCTAATTCGGTCACTTGGAATCCGCATAAATTAATGGGAGCATTATTACAATGTAGTGCCTGTTTTATAAAGCAAGAAGTAAGCATTTCGGAAATTTATATTTGTAATTTGTAATGCATATTTAACAGTTTTAGTTTTAGCAGTAGAAGAACCTGTGATGAAAAAAATATTTTCATTCATTTGGTCATTTATTCATCAGGCATCAAAGATTAAGTGTCATTTAATGACATACTATTTTGAAAGATTCATTCAGGTATAAGTCACTTCAAATTAACTCAAATAATTTTAGGGTCTTTTATTCCAAACTAATCAGATGTCAGCTGATTATTTATTCCAACAGGATAAGCCCTATGATGTTAGTTTTGACACTGGTGATAAAGCGATGCAATGTGGTCGACATAACGATATCTTCAAACTTTGGTTAATGTGGAGGTCAAAGGTAAATCCACGTATTTTTCAGTAAGCATTGCATATTAAAGTTATGCTTAAAAAGTTGATCTATGAGATGTAAAATGATCTTTACCTTAATATGTTATCATATTTCTCTCAGTTTTTTAAAATTTAAAATTTTTGTTTTCTAATATAAACAAGTGTGATTAATTCATATCACTATTCGTTTAGTGTAATATGAACTTTAGGAGGGAATTTCATAAAATTTCAAATAATTCATTGCAGAGAGTCTCTGCTTCTTATGGTAAAATTATAATGCTAACTTTTTTTAACTTTCTTTCTCTCTTTCCCTCTCCCTCTCTCTTTAAGAGAAAGATATTAATAAAGCAGTGAATCACATTTTATCAGCCAATCTATTTATCTTTCAACTATGAAATACTCACAAATTTTGAGCCATTATTTAACAAAAAAAAAGGCGTAATTAATTAAATTAAAAATTTCAATCTTAGAAAAAAGTGTTTGCTTATAAAAAGGAAAGTTTTTAACAAAAGTAAAAATAATAACAAGAGAAACATGGCATTTGCTAAGCTAATTTCATTTGTGGATTGGAATATTACTTTGATATATACTCAATTTGAGATATCACACTAAATGTATTGTACAACGTATTGAACTGTAACGTTACATTAGATGATATGCTATATCAATCTTTCATGATATGCTATATCAGTCTTTCATGATAAGTTATATCAGTCTTTTATGATACGTTATATCAGTCTTTCATGATACGTTATATCAGTCTTGAAGTAAAATTAAGCATCCTAATGTTAACAATTCCTTCGTCTTTAAGTTACTTTTACCAAAATAGATATAAAAAGCCTGAATTGTTGCAAATCATGAATAATTGAGATCGAAAAACTTATATGTATGTTAAAACGTAACAATTAATATGAATGAATTTCATAAATGTCAACATTTAACATGCAAAAGTATTGCGGATCATATAAAGGAAGGAATGATAAACTAAACTAAAAGATATTTTGAATTAAGGGTATGACAGGATATCGTCGACAAATCAATCGTCTGATGGATTTAGCAGCATACTTTACAGCTCGAATTCGTGAAACGGAGGGTTATGAATTGGTTATTG